CCCCCCCCCTTCTAAGTTATCATTGTCTTTGATTTTTCACTGAACTTGTGTTATTATTTTTAGATGACCCGTCTTGTGCTACCAAGAATGTGTGAGAGGTGAGTTATATGATGGGGCTTCCATGTTTTGCGACATTACTGCAGTCAAAATATTCCTGTAGTAAATGATGGATGGTGGCACAGAGCTACTCAGGGAATCTTTATATTTAACAACACCCCTCCACCCTTTTCTTTAAGAACAGTATTTAGGAGATGACTGTAACAAAATATGGCTCTTTTTTTTGGGAGGGGGGGGACAAGAAATCTTCACCTAGCATTTTCCATGACTGCATCTCTTTCCCTCTCCTCCTTTGTTCGCAATGCTGACAAGCTTTCAATTCACACAAAGTGCTCTTCCCACCCGATTGGCTGTTGTGTTCCCATGTGATTCCCACCAGCCAATGGTAGTGCAGGCACATTTGGTGCCGTGTGAGGCTGGAGCGTCTCCACTACATCACTGCAGCAACCGGCTGCCATGGCAACGCAAACAGCCACTACCACACTGTTTTAGTGTGTGTGTGCAGTATCACTTTGTAATTGTCGGTGCAATAAGCATGCATAGACACAGGGCTTCCACGGGTAAAAATCTTATTCTGTGGATTTGATGGTTAAAAATAAGGTCTTAAAGTGTAGCCATTGATCAATGTTTCAGGAAAGCTTTGTAATGTAGGATTGTAATGATACTGAAATTCCAGATTTGACTTAGGCTTTGTTTGCTTGTTTGTTTTGATGTGGCAAATATGCAAGTAAAAATCAACCCTGTAATGTGTAATTTTAAGTGACGATTGTTCCTGGAACTTGATGATCTGTCTGTGCTGTAGCCCAAAAAGAGCCATCTTCATTTCACATACAAAATAAGTTCAACATCTACCTTCCTGTGTTTTCCCCAGGTCCAAAGGTGTTATCCTAAACATCTCCTCTGCCAGTGGCATGTACCCACTGCCTCTGCTCACTATCTACTCTGCAACCAAGGTATGTACAGTGTGTTTGGCACTTCTAAAGAGGCAAGACTTCTTCTCTAGGAAATGAGAAGATGACCACAAAACCTTTTTTTTTTTATATTTTATATTGGACTGTCTTAGTAATTTTGACGATCTTTCATTCGTGCAGGCGTTTGTGGATTTCTTCTCTCGTGGCCTTCAGGAGGAGTACAGACGTCAGGGTATCATCATCCAGGTATGTCGAGTCTGAGAAACATGACAATCATTGAAGCCTGAATATGAGTCTATGATCTATGAGAGACTAACTAGGAGCTTTCATTATTTGTCAGCATGTGTGCACATTAACTTTTAAAAATGTTGTACAAAATCATGTAAAGGTCATTAAAAGCTTTTCTGAACTTCACTCTTTTGGACACAAAGTAAAGACTGGAGTGGCTGTTTGACCAAAGTCAGTCAGCCCTATTCTTGAAACAGAATCTTGCAAGTTTTGGAAATCCTAATACACTTAAGTTTTTAATAACAAAGTTAAACATTTTTTTCCAAAGAGTCTCCATTGAAAACGGAATGAAATGAACACACAGAAGTGTTCTGCTTTTAATGAGAAGCTTTTTTTTTTTAAACCTGATGTTCCACATAAAGCTGGTTTGTTCTGTTTTTAGAACTCTGTAGTCTTCACTCATGTGCCACCTTGTGGTTGGACCACATATAGGAGTTTAAGTATAACACAAAGTTCAGGGTCTGCCTTTTGTTTTTTCCTTGCATTCCAAATCATCACTTTACAGCAAAGATTTTGTCTTTTGGGTTAAAGAGCATGTTACATATTAAATATGGCTTACCCGAAGTTAGTTTAGCTTTCATGATTTTAAACAGTCTGCAGGGAGTGCTTTGCATATTTTCTAAGCTTGCTTCTTTTTTTTCTTTTTTTCTTGCTCTTGCAGAGCGTGCTCCCCTTCTTTGTGGTCACTAAAATGACTCGTATCAGGAAACCCACCTTGGACAAGCCCACCCCAGAGCGCTATGTAGCAGCTGAGCTCGCCACTGTGGGTCTGCAAAGCCAGACCAATGGCTACTTCCCTCATGCTGTTATGGTAAGAGATGGCAACCTCAACAAAATTAGTAATGTTGATAGATGTGCAAAATGTTGGGGCCCAAATGAATAATTCTTATTTGAAAGCTTGAATGCTGAACACATTTTAAAGTTGCAGTTTAAATTCATTTTAATTGTGAATGCAGGGCTGGGTGACCACCAGGCTGGTTCCAAGCAGCATTGTTATCTTCCTGGGAGCCAGAATGAACCGCCTGCAGCGTACGGGATACCTGCAGAGGAGGAAACTGCGAGAGCAGAAGAACGGACAGAGTTTGAAAACTGAATAGGACGGTGGCTGATGACGCTGCCAGCAGCCACATTGTTGTGACCCACTGCAGCATTTAAGGAAGAGGGGAATGTATATGATTTATCCGCCAGGGTTGCCTGAGATTTCACCTTTTGTGCCTACAGTAAATTTGCACATCAGGGCACGCGTGGCTCTGACTAAAACTGCAACCTTCTATCCTGATACTTATCTGGGCAGACATGACCAAAGAAGCTTGGAAGTGAAATGAGGATAAAATGCTGCTTTTGGAAAAGGACATTGATATTAGTCACTGACACTGATGGTGGAAATGATACAGCCAAAAACAGAGGGATTTGTTAACCCTGCTGTTGTAAGCAGTGGAAAATGGTGGTGGGCATCTTTTTATATACATATATAGGCTACACCAATCAGCCACAACATTAAAACGACTTGCTGAACATTGATTAGGTATATCTTGTGCTGTTAAAACTGCTCCAGACTGTCTGCATGGACATGGGACCACTGAATTGTTTGCAGCAGATTATTTGGTGCTGTGGGTTGAGGACTGGTGCATCTGTGTCAGTCTTTCTGGCATAAACCATGAATGCTCATTCAGATAAGGATCTGGGGAATTTGAAGGCTGAGTCTATATCCTGGACTCTGCTGTATTCCTTGAACTTTTCCTGAGCAGGTTTATGTATTATGGCAGGACGCACAGTCTTGCTTTAGGGGCCTTAGGGGTATGCTCGGTCTGCATAAATGTTTAAAATTTATATTGTGGAAAAATAATCAAATTTATTCACCTTACTTGGTGGTTTAAATGTTGTGGCTGAACGGTATTTATGATCTATTTATTTTATATTTGTATGAACACAGAAGCCAAACTCTGACTTTAAAAAAACAACAAATTTTTAACTTAGTTCTATTTACAAATCATTGAGCTGTTAAATGATGGCAGTGCCTGCTTTGTGTTGTGCCAGTTATTTGCACCACTGAGCTCATCTTATGTTGCCTCCTTTTCTTTCTTTTTTTTCTGATTGAATGTTTAAAATGACACTTTGTGGTGGGTTTTTAATTGCATCAGTGTAATATTTGTGGTAAGCCAAAGCATCTGATGGTTAAGTGCCTTTCTTCTGGCATTAATGATGGAAATGGTCTGATTTTGTGAACAGGTGCTTAAAGGTTCCATTTATTATGAAAGGATGTTAACTGGTGCTACGTCCAAAGGAACTACTAAATTGTTCTTTTTCTTACTACTCTAATCACAGTTTTTGGTTGTTTTTGTTTTGTTTTGTTTTTTCCACTTTTTTTTTTTTTTTTAAAATCTGATTATGTTGGTTAGCTCATTCATTGTGTGGCAAATTTACATCCAGTTAGAGTTGAAATGACAAAGTGGAACATTTTTACATGAAGACTGGTTCACATGACACCAAATGTTGGCTGTGAAAATGGGGGAACTGTTTCTCTTTATTTCTCAAATCAGTCCCCCATATGACCCGAGCTGTACCTCAACTAAGTGGCTTTTCTAGCGCCATTTATTTCTTAGAGATTCAAACTGGAATATTTACATCAAAATGCACTGTTTACATTTATCCTGCCAATTGCAACTTGTCTTTTCTACTGTTTGTTAATAAAAGCTTTAGCAGATAGCACAGTGCCTTGCCTGGTGTTTGGTCTTGCAGATTTTTAACGACTTTAAAAGTCGTTAAAAATCTGTGATAAGAAATTACAATATAAAAGTCTTTATTTCTTGATGTATCAAATTTAATTGCCAGACTTGGGGAAATTCAGTTTAATTATATAGCACCAAATAACAAGTTATTAGCAATTGTTAAATAATATTACAAAGAGAAACCCTACAATCATATTACCAAATATGTGCTCCCTATGAGCAAATTCTTAATATGATTAGAGGAAAGAATGGACCCTGGAAAAAATCATGTGCCAGTAACTTAAGTTCAGGAACACGATCTCTTGGAGGCATGCAACGGGAATCCCTGTAAGGCAGGGGTGTCAAACTCCAGGACTCGAGGGCCGGTGTCCTGCAGATTTTAGATCTCACCCTGGGTCAACACACCTGAATCAAGTGATCAGTTCATTACCAGGCCTCTGGAGAACTTCAAGACATGTTGAGGAGGTAATTTAGCCATTTAAATCAGCTGTGTTGGATCAAGGACACATCTAAAACCTGCAGGACACCGGCCCTCGAGGCCTGGAGTCTGACACCTGTGCTGTAAGGAGAATGAAAAGTGGACCGGCTCAGAATATCCTGGAAGGTCTAATGCCTAAAGCATTGTTCAGAGTCCCCCAATCAAGCCTTATCTTAAAAACATTTTGAAGCCCAATCTTATTAAGCTTGAAAAGGGAAGCTTATTAGTTGACAACTGTCTTGCCTTCACCTGCACCATTTGGATATTCTAATGAATGATGGTCACTAATTAAAATGATTTATTTAAATAGTTAATTCTCACTGTCTAGAAACGTCCTTTGTGCCCATGTGCTAATATACGCTCACTTTTTATGTGGTGTTCTACAAAAAGGTATTATTAGTTTTATTCGTGACATAGTTCACATTAAATTGTGCTAAAATATATATTTTTTTTAAAAGAGAGGGAGAGGAGAGCTAGAGACGGAACTATAGTTTCACATCTCGGTTCCAGGTAGGATTTATTTTCCCCGTTACACTCTTGCCATGGCTGACAGCGCTACAGCTTAAATAAAAAACTCTTCTCTATTAGTTCTGTAGATATGCTTTAGCGACCACTTGGGTAAGTCATTCAAGTTTTTTTTCCAACATTATTTAGTCCTGGTATTTTCTTACGAAGTATGACATTTAAAAAGTGTTATTTAAAGTAACTTTATGTTACGTATACTGAGCACCAGGCTAATCAAGTATTTCAGTTAAGAATAGCCAGTTTACTATCGAAATTATCCTTTAACTAAAAGGGACAGAAATTATTTCGTTTAACTATCGAACAATTTATTAAAAGCTGCTTTGTTCAATTTGATGCTTGCATATTTTATTCTCAGAGAAACTTTAAGATTCTACGATAAATCCAACAAATCGTGCTTTTCATTAGGCACAGAGGGAAAAGAACGTAGTACAAGTACCACTCGAACAAAATATATAACTCAAAACATCTCATTACGCATCACAAAGGACTGCAGATCTGAGCAGCACTCCACACACACACACACACACATAAAGGAAAAAAACTGCATGCAGGGGTAGACATTGATAAGACATTAGTAGGAGTGCCATTCTCCGTTCGACTACACTTAGAGTAGTATTTGGATAGTGGCAGAGTGGATTTTAAATAAAATTATGAAGACGTGATTGAAATTTAGATTTTTTGAATTGTGGTAACTATACATAAATTACAGCCATTTTTTATACAAAGTTTCTCAGAGGTTAAAAGGTAATTGGACAAATGGAGGATAAGCAGTTTCAGGGCCAGGTGAAGTCTGTTCTCTTGGTATCTCATGATGGACTAAGAAGATAACATTTCTGGAGTTGTTTCCTTGCTTGCATGTGATGCCTTTATTCTCAATATGTGGCGTGAAAGAGAGAGTGATGCAAGTGTAGAAAATTCTCACAGAGGTAGGTCTATGGATCTCAGTCAACGGTGTACTTAGAGTCTACAGTCAAGAGTCACCTTCATGAATGTAAATTTACAACAAGGTGTAAATCACTGGTTACACGTAAAAACAAGATCAGGCTTTGTCCGAAAACATCTAAAACAGCTTTCAAACTTCAGCTAAAAAAATTCTGTGAACACATGAAAGCCATCTTAACCAGAATGACAGGAACAGAAGAGTGTGCAGAAGAAGAGAAATGACTCACGATTATAAGCATAACACATTATCTGTAAAACATTGTGGAGATAATGTTTTGTGTGGGCACGTATGGTTGCCACTGTAACCGGGTCACTAGTGTTTATTGTTAATGTGACTGCTGGTACATATAGCAAGATGAATTGTGAAGTGTACAGGACTATACTCTCTGCTCATGTTCAGCCAAATGTGGCAAAACTGGTCAGGACTTGCAAATGGATGATGAGCCAGCTCTTCAGAATTGAAGATGCTTCTCGGATGAGAGGTGAAACGTCTTCAAGCAACTTAAAGAAGTCCAGACGCTTTTCTTTGCAAGCTCCTTTGACTACGATGACCTGGATGAC